AATTAAATTATTTATATGGTAAATGTATATATACATTATATGATAAATGTATATTATATATACATTTATCATATAAATAATTTAATTCTTTGCATTGTGACACATTGACAAGAATTGATTAAATAGATAAAAAACGAATCTTTAGCGTATTTGATCTGTATATTTAATCCGCGTCTTTGATTCTGCGTTAAGAGAATAATGGACCATATCCGTCGAACAAATTTAGCGAATTCAATTAGACGGAACGACTGTCTCTTATTCGCTACGACTTCGTTCTTTGTTTTGTGCACACTGTATCTCCTTTGTTTAAGTAAGAATTAAGTATCTATAATTCTATGCCTATAATTCTTAATGCCGTGAAATGATGTACCCAAAATTTATCCTATAATTTATCATTTTAACTGTACTATTAATATTCATCACTACATATCACTTTGTTCAACAGATGATCAAATTCAAGCTCTCCATTTTTAAATGATTTATTAACTCATCTGTATTTAAATCTTTAAAATTCTTTTAATAAAAACACATCTAAATTATTAATATTTATCAAAACAAATATTTTTAATTTTTTTTGTAAAAATTAATCTAAAGAAACTAAAGATATTCAAACTTCTTATTATTTTAATTTCTTCAAGAAATTTCTCAAAAATATAATCGATATAATTTTGTAAAATTAAAAGTATTGTCTATAATGTACATATATAACTTTATGTCTGAAGTGATTGTAAATAACATTAATTCATTCTAAATTTTGGAACGTAAATTCTTCCAATTTCCAGTCATCTTTTTCGAATCACATCCAATACTCACATACATCGTCGCGCAGAGTTTCTGCAACGTCCTCGTGATGACTCCAGGTCCATTGTTACCCCAAACATCGCCACGAAAGTTCTTCTTAAGATCGCGCACGCAAGCATCAGCTACGCGTCGACCCAACTTTGACATGTCGAAACCCATGACGCCGGCGGCGACATCGTCCCAGTCCTCGGCTCCGGCAAAATTTGTCAGATTCTCCAGCGAACTGGTGACCACTACGTCCAAATCCAGATAGATACCACCGTACTTCCATAGAGTCAGATAGCGCAGCATATCGGACATATGACTAACCGGCCAGTGACTCTTCTTTAAAGCACCGCTGGTGTACCACACTTCCAAAGGTGTGTTTTTTACATATGTTTGCGGATCGATGTGACGAATCCTGACGTTGGAATAGTTGAGAAGATGCCTGACTATCTCACGCGTCCTGTTCGAGAACTTTGACTTGCTGACAAGTAACAAGTACACGGTCATTGACGGATTCATCCGCGCCGCCGATTCTACGGCACACGCTTGCCTAGCGTTTAATACGATGCCCTCCTCGCCGAAACAAGAAGTTTCGTGAAAAAAGATGTTCTTGCCTAACATTAATTTGCCGATACCTGAAATATATTAATATGCCATATATTTATAAAATATTAAAATATGTTAATCCATTGCGATTTTTAATCATAACATTTGTTGTAATATTCGCAATATTCGCAATCCAGAAAAAAATTCTCAATTAGAATATGTGTTTTAATATCCAGTTGTCAGATATTGAATTTGACATATTTGATTTAAGGATCAAACGTGTCAAATTCAACATCTGATAAATGGATATTAATAAAATCCAAATTCTAATCTAATTATCACATACTTTTAGAATGTCCTCTAACCGTTTTATAAACATTATACTTTATACTTAGGATTATATGTATATTTTTATAAAGAATCTAATTTTCTTAAACTTTTAATACGTATGAAAAAGTAGATAGTAATTTTTATACTTGATTCTGGATCGAAATTATCGATGCCTTTTGTAGTCGAGACTTCATCGTAGCATTTAATATTATTAACCGTTGTCACATCGAGGAATGGTATCCTTTGAATGATGTTGCTCTCGGTTGAAATCATTAGAATGAGGAGCACAACGGCGAAAGCAAAGCCGCACCACAATAATCTTTTTTTCATCTTTCTGGATATTCTCATCGACTTGCGCTACATTGAGATAAAATCGATTTGTCAGAATATGTTCGAGCATAGTGTTGCCTATAAATAATTGAGAATCATTATCATTGTTCCTCGTTAGTTGAAACAGATACACCTTATCTTGTCATTGTATTAAAATTTAATATTTACACGTACAAAAGATATGATAAAGGCAATGGAATTTATTTAAATATATTTCTATAAATATGTATGATTATTTTCGAATTAAATGAATGTTTGTTGAAGTGAATGTTTTCAACAAATGAAATATGATACTCAAAGAGGAAAAGTTTATTTCTGATATCACATTCGTAAAAGTGATTAAATATATGGCTTCAAAAGAAACATGCTAAATCGAAAGGATTACAAATATATTACAGCAATATTATTTTATCTAATTATTTTAATATTATATCAATGCTTGAATATAATTTTAATATTATGTCAATGTCTGAATTTTTACCGAAATTATAAAGTATACTTTATCATTTCTAAAATAATAATTAATACTGGGCTAATCTGATAATTCCTAAGTATTTCATAAGTTCATTATAGCAATATTTTTTGCTATTAGTATATTAGTATATATTTTGCTATTAGTTAGACTGTCATGAGCTTACGAAACACTTAGGAATTATCGGAGGAATTATCATTAGTATTATCATCTCATAAGTGATAAAATAAAATTGATAATTTCAATAAAAATCTTGATGAAGATAATATTAAATAATAATAATATATAATAATATTATATATAATAATATAGTAATAATATTATATATAATAATATAGTAATATTAAAATAGCGCTGATATAATATATAATTTGTAATTCTCTCGATTTGCATGTTTCTTCTAAAGTCATATGGTTGTCCCAAGATTCTGCGCACATGATGAAAAATAAATTTTTCTATCATTCTCTCTGATTACACTGATTACTGACTTACTTATTTTTTTATCTGGATTATTTAATAGCTCCTATAAAATAATTATTTCGTGTAAAAGTGCAAAAAAATAAAATAAATGCATACGTACATTATTTATTAGAAGATGCAGCTGCTTGTTGTTTCGAATAAAAAGTATAAAATATAAAAAAATAAAAATCAAATACGTCTCGCTTTACATCGAATAAAACTGTTATTCATGTTTAAACGATCCTATTTCGCTATAGAGCTATGATTGAAATAGATTATTGCATGCAATAATATGATTGTAGATAATATGCGATGATTTGTTACAATACATACAAAATGTATCAATGTTTAATAATTTATATGAGAAAATGCGTGTGAATACATGTGAGAAAAACCATGTTAAGTAATCTTAATGTAAATCGACAACACGTCACATTTCTCGGAATGGAACGGGGGGAGAGAGTGAATGTACCCGCAAAATTGTGGATACATTCTCAAAATATTTTACGGCAAACAATAGCACAAATACCTGTTTTATTGCGCTCGCCCATAAAACAGGTGTCCTTTCGTGTTTACACACAAGCTTTACACAAATCTCTATTTTTCCGTGTTAAGTATCCCCTCCAGTCATCATGATCCAACACAAATGCAACACAACATTCTTATCTTTTTACTATATGAAATTATTATTCATGACGTGTGAATTGCATTTATCTGGAACGAATTTGTTACGTCCGCTTTTTTTTTTTTATTTCCTTCGCTCACATTACGTCATGCTCGCGTGTTTAGTTACATGCTACGGAAATTTAAATCAGTTAATATTTCACTTTGACGCGAAGAAAGAACTCGATCGTGTCTCGATTTTTTTATCCGGAACGTTTCGCATCAATCGAACTTCGCTGCCGCACTGCGGGAGAATTTACAGTGTCAAAATTGTCACACTAAATAAAAGCATCGCTACTTCAAGATAAATTGAAACAAACACTGCGAAGTACTCGAGTACACGGGACGTACATGTAGGATCCTCGCGCGATCCTCAGCTTAGGCGTGTATTCTACCATCGGCGAGATCAGTGGATCGACTGCCGGCTGTTGGGTGAAATGACTATCAGTTGACGAAATATCAATAGATATCGCGTGA